CTATCTCCTTATTGGTTTGATGCAGCACGAGGGACTGGTGTACAGAATACAGTAGATATGCAGTCCATGTTTCTTTTAACAGGTCCAAATGGTGGGGGCAAATCAAGCTTGCTGCGTTCGTTGTGTGCAGCTGCATTGCTAGGAATGTGTGGGTTCATGGTTCCAGCTGAATCAGCTGTCATTCCTCATTTTGACTCAATTATGCTGCATATGAAATCATATGATAGTCCTGTTGATGGAAAAAGTTCATTTCAGGTAATATGTTCTATATTCTTGATTTGTAGCATATATGATTTTCTTCTTGTCCTGTTTGCTCGGAACCTAGTAATTTATCTGCAATTAAAACAAGAAATGAATGCTGTATCATGATGCTTGGCTGCGATTGTAGCAGATAAGCAGTTTACATTTTGCTTGTTGTAGATGATTTTGCTTGTTAAGACTACTTGTATTTGATTGCAAACTGTAGTCATCAGGGATGCACAATTCCATGAGTGATTTCCTTAGACATTTGGCACAACTGATCTTATTATTCTCTCCATCCCAAAAAGTGGATTGAGTATAGTGGATGTACAACAAAAATTTTGTGCCTGTTGACAAAAGAATCTTTAGTACATAGTAGTTCTCAGTGTTTTGGACGGCGAGAGGCGACAAGGGCCTTCCTCGCCACGCGCCGCTCGCCTTTTTGAATCGAGGCGCCAATTAATACCAAAAATTAAAAATATTTAATTGCACATATAATATTCAAAATTTCAATAGCTCCATATATTACAAATACTATAATAATTACTATAGAAAGAATTAATTTTTTTTTCAAAAAATAATGGACAGCAGTCACAGACTCACAGCACAGTGAAAACAGAAGGCATTTTACAGTAATCTGGGACAAAAGAGAGAGTGAAGAAAATAGAGGAAAAAAAGAGTAGTGAAGAAAACTTGAAGAAAACAGAACTGAAAGTCTGAAACCAGAATTGAAGAAGAACAGAAAAAAAGAGGTATACCTCAGGTCTTCAGCAGCAGCAACTCGAAGATGATGAAGACAAGGAGAAGAGATCGCGAGGGGAAGAGTTGGGGAGAAGAGTGCGCAGCAGAAGATTTTGAAAATATAAAAAAAAAGCCCTAATTTTGACTAATATTGTTTAAGTCAAATATTTTTTTTTAAAAAAAGGCGCCGCCTTTTCTGGCGCCATTAGGTCGCCATGGGCCGCCTTTTGCATACCGCCTCGCCTTAGTGGGGAATGGCGAGGAGGCCTCGCCTCGCCTTTCGCCAAAGGCGATGAGGCGCTCGCCATTCACAACACTGGTAGTTCTACTGTGGTTATTATGGTAAAAAGGCAATCTCTCTTCTGGTTAACTTATTGGTTCTTATTTTGGAGTCTTCTTCCTTTGCACCGTTCTCTTGGATTAATCTGTCGGTGATAATGATGTTAGTTCCACTTCTATCATATGTTTTTTCTGAGAGAAGCTATTTCATTCGTTTGTGTACATAACAATCATGACTCTAGGTGTTGGTGTTTCTATTCATCATTTTTCACTTTTCCTTGCTGACATAGTAGAGTCTCATGGCATTTTGAAGGCAACATTATGACTCTTAATTGTCTAACATGCCTCAGATTGAAATGTCTGAAATTCGGTCTCTGATTACTGGTGCCACTTCAAGAAGTCTTGTACTTATAGATGAAATATGTCGAGGAACAGAAACAGCAAAAGGGACATGTATTGCTGGAAGTGTCATAGAAACCCTGGACGAAATTGGCTGTTTGGGAATTGTATCAACCCACTTGCATGGAATATTTGATTTACCCCTGAAAATCAAGAAGACCGTGTATAAAGCAATGGGAGCTGAATATGTTGACGGTCAACCAATACCAACTTGGAAACTCATTGATGGGATCTGTAAAGAGAGTCTAGCATTTGAAACAGCTCAGAGAGAAGGAATTCCAGAAATATTAATCCAAAGAGCAGAAGAATTGTATAATTCAGCTTACGGGAATCAGATACCAAGGAAGATAGACCAAATAAGACCTCTTTGTTCAGATATTGACCTCAATAGCACAGATAACAGTTCTGACCAATTAAATGGTACAAGACAAATAGCTTTGGATTCTAGCACAAAGTTAATGCATCGAATGGGAATTTCAAGCAAGAAACTTGAAGATGCTATCTGTCTTATCTGTGAGAAGAAGTTAATTGAGCTGTATAAAATGAAAAATCCGTCAGAAATGCCAATGGTGAATTGCGTTCTTATTGCTGCCAGGGAACAGCCGGCTCCATCAACAATTGGTGCTTCAAGTGTCTATATAATGCTAAGACCTGACAAAAAGTTGTATGTTGGACAGGTACATCTTTTCCTTTTTCCAGGTTGAGTCTTAAAGTGCATGCTTTGTCTAATCAATTCTTTTATGTGATTTAATTGTATTGAGATGCTTAACGAGTTGGGAGACCGCCTGCACATATTGCATGCCATTCAGAATCGAGCCTCATTTTGTTGTAAAAAATTGTCTTGCTGTCTGCAGAATAACTGAATTAAGTGTTCAGTTTCTTTTTCCGAAATGTTCTTTTAAAGTTGTGGAGGTAATTATGTTTAAAGTTACTCGAGATAAATGGTCAATAGACAGACATTATTTAGTCATACAAATGAAGTCTATGGGCACACAAGTGCAAACACTAGTCTTCATTTCGGTTATTGTGAGCTATTACTTCCTTCGACATATTATATCTTAACGTTCTTCTTTCTGATTATATGTACAGACTGATGATCTTGAGGGCAGAGTACGTGCTCATCGCTTGAAGGAGGGAATGGAAAACGCGTCATTCCTATATTTCTTAGTCTCTGGCAAGAGCATCGCCTGCCAATTGGAAACTCTTCTAATAAATCAACTTCCTAATCATGGTTTTCAGCTAACAAACGTTGCTGATGGTAAGCATCGAAATTTTGGCACAACCAATCTCTCCCCAGAACCTTCATCCGCGCTTAGATGAACTCATCATTCTGCTATGGAAGAGCTCAAGTTGGTGTATAAAATTTGTATTAGTTTTTGAAAATTTTCAAGGGATGAGTAATTCAACTTTCAGTGGCTGCAGCAATTTTGGGTTAGTTTTAGCTTCTCCACATGTATATCACATCATCACCTGTGAAACTAAGGGTTAATTAAGCCTTGTAACACTTTTGATATCTAAGTTTTAGTGTCCTGACAAAGATGTGGTCTACTAGCTAATGAAGTGCGTAAAAATTATGAGAGACGACTATAACAATATTTTTTAACCAATATTCTATTAGGGTTTACTTTGACATATTTATATCGAGAAAATAGTCCATTGACTGTAGGAGTAGGTCTAAAATGGTTGTTCAACTATACACTTGTTAATTTTAGTTCTTTAACAATTTAAATAGGGATGGTTCATCAATTATACATTTACCAGTTTTAGTTCCTTAACAATATAGTTGTCGATTTTAGTTCTAAGTATTTAACAAATTATCATGTCAAATTTTTATACAATAACTTAGATTTATATTAACGAAATTTATGTCTCAAGAAATTAAATCATTTAGCCATTTTCTCAAATGTTTCTCTCCCAACTATTTGTCTTCAAATATTCTTATACAAAGAATCTTAACCTTAGACTATTCAAACTAAGAGTCATGAGGAAAGATAATATAAGTCATCATTTCATTTAGGAAAATGAAATCACTATTGCTATTAATGATTTGAATATGCTAAATTTTACTATAAAAAGAAGAGAAAAATAAAATAAAATTAATATTGAAGTTGTTTTAAATTTTCAAAAAGACACGTTAATTTTGTCACGTCCTATTCCCCACAAATGTATTGAATGTCGTTGTATTTCTCATTTTGTTTGTGAAACACGCAGATGTCACGCATGAAAGTTTATTTTTGTTAAAAAAAATAATTAAAGTGTCACATTTTTTCATTTCTACGATAAAATTAGATTCTGAAATGTTATCTTCTCATGTTCATTTAATCTTTTATACAGTGACGTTATGATTGTTTCAAGTAATTTTCTTAGCTAATTGCACAGATGGAGAAAACATAATTGATTTGGATACTCTTTATCCTTAGAACTCTTAATTATAAATATGCATTTCACTTACGAAAAGTAAACCTTCAATTTCTTGTTTACTCAGCTAGTCTTTTAAGAATTTTGATTAAAAAAAACATCTTAACTGAAGCAAATGATCTTGAACAATCGCACTGAAAGAAATGGAAAACAACAAAAAGAAAGAGTTTTCTCTTTTTGAAACTATTTGGATCGAATTAATTTAAATTAAATTAATTAAAAACACGTGTGTGCTTCACATGTGAGAAAATGGATAAAATGATCCTTTTACAAAGATATTTAATATTTTATGAGGAATAAGTCGCCCGAAAAGTTAATGTGTCTTTTACCAATTGCGACCCCACCTACGTCTCCCCAAAATTCAAGACAACTTTAATAATGTGTTTATGTCTTTACTCTAAAATGAAAAAAATATTACTTGCTTAAATTCAAAATTTTATAATTCAACGAGTTATTAAGGCAGAATTTGTTTAATTTTTTAGGCAGTTGAAATTTATAAGATGGTTCACTTTGCACATTCTTTTTTTTTAAAAAAACAATCTATTTTATTATTCATATTATTTTACATAAAGAAATTTGAATAGTAAGATCAAATCTCTTATTTTTCTTTCACATTAAAAGTAAAACTTTAAAAAATTGCATTGATTGTGAACTATGAACCGCTAAAAAAGCGAAGATATTCATTAACAACAGTTATATACTTTATATTATCCTCTATTGAATAAAATTATACTTAATATTTTTTTCCTTTTAAATTTTATTTTGAATCGTTGATACTATTTTTCTCTTCATAAGTATAATTTAACGAAAACTGTAACGGGGATAGAAAAATAACATTTTAAAAATGAGTTAAAGATTTAATTTTACAAAAAAAATTCTATTAATATAAATCTAAGCTGTTTATATTTAAAATTGAACAAAAAATTTTTTTTAAGGACTAAAATTGATAAATTACCCGAAAAAGTTCTTCTTCTTCCCACGAATTTCCCAAAAACCTTTTCTTCTCTGCAAAATCTCACCATTGAAGGAACCCCAAATGGATCAAGTGGTGGAAGAAGTAGAAAATGTGAAGAAAGAGTTGGAAGAAACATACAAACAGACTCAAGAACACATCAAATCTATTCATGAATATGGAAAATCAGGAACAACAAGATTAATTTCAGAAGAGAAAAGTTCACTTCCAAGATTGAATGGTCTTGCTCAAGATGGGATGAATCTGCTTCAATCACTTCAATTTAAGCTTGATCTCTTAGCCCCACAACTCCCTTTAGATGATCAAGTTGAAAAAACTCAGTCTTTGGCACAATCATGGAAAACTCAGATCCAAAGGTAGCTAAAAACGAATATGCATCTTTGCTTTGTTTTATATGAATCATATGTATCCCTTTTATTAGGACCGTTAGGGTTATTTTAACTGTAGAATAGTAATGTGAGGAATTTAGAAATTTTGGGGTTGGGAAGTTGAATAAGAAATGGGGTTGATTTCAAGTTTATTGCTTTCAGCTGGGATGGAACCAAAGTAAACTGCTTTGGTGGAAAATTACACTGCTTGGAATTCAGAATTTTGGGGTTGGGAAGTTGAATAAGAAATGGGGATGATTTCAAGTTTATTGCTTTCATTTAGGGGTGGAGCCAAGTAGGCATCCGGACCCCCTTGTTGGAAAATTACATTGTTTATACGTGGTTAAAATTATACTTATGTATGATATAGCAGATGCTAAATCCCTTTTGGTTTTTTCTTTGAGTGTTTACTTTTCATATTTTGAACTTCCTTAGTGCATACTGACTGCCATTTGTTTTTCTATGATTGAGTCGAGAAGTCTTCATACCAAACTAGTTGGTTCAGCTATATTTATTTATTCTTCACTATTTGCATCTGTTTCATTTCCCATACTGTGTAGAAGAGTAATGTGAGGAAGTCGGAGATTTTGGTTCAGATTAGGACAGACTAAGATTTGGGGTTGGGAAGTTGAACAAGTAATGGGGATGATTTCAAGTTTCTTGCTTTCAGCAGGGGCGGAACCAAGTAGGGTCATCCGAACCCCTTCCAATGGAAAATTACATTGTTTTTGTGCGGATCAAAATATGTATAATATAGTAGATATTAAATTCCCTTTGGCTTCTTTGTGTGTTTACTTTCATTGGGTTTTAGATGATCGAGTGGGCAAGTCTACATCCCGAACTATTTGGTTCAGCTATACTTATTTATTCTTCACTATTTGCATCTGTTTCAGCCCATAATCTATAGAAGAGTAATGCGAGGAAGTCAGATTTTGGTTCAGATTAGGAAAATTTTGATTTGTCTTGTTTCTTTTAGTTTTTCTTACTTGGTAATACATTATGGATCTTGACAAAATATGGTGTTTCCTTTTTCTGGTTGACTATTAGACTAAATTGTTTTGTATATAACTTAGTAGTGACATTTTAATGAATGAATTGATATCCAGAAGGATTACATTTTCCCTTATTGTTGTAATTTCGACTTTGAATATATATCTTTATGTAGAGTTCTCTACTTGTTGGTATACCTCTTGTACATGGGAGATTTCTCATTATCAATAAAATTACACTTGGCAGAAAATGTGAATATTAAGATAGATGCTGCAATGCAAGATTGAACAAGACAAGAGACGGTCATATCAAAATAAAGTGTTCAAATAACACACATGGAGGATAAGATAAGAGAAGGTTGTCTGAATAGTTTGTCCATGTATCACATTAGTCTCTGAATGTATGAGTTCGTAAGTGTGGCATTATGGTGATTGATGTTACTAAAGGGATACAGAAGATCTAAAATCATATGGAGGAAGCTGTTAAAAACACCTAGAATCATTGCGGATTAAGCTAAGAAAACAAAAGTAGAAGTAAAGGATTCATATATTTGATACACCAACTGTAGTTGGCTGATTTAGCTTTTAGTTACATTAAGTTTGGATTTAAATAAGAATGATAATTAGGGAACTCCTAGTCTGAAGAACTTCTGATCTGTCTCAAAAGATAAAATACTTACCAATATTTAAATCAAATATGTTCTAGTAGAGTGAAAAGGATTGTAGAGGATTTATGTGGCCAACCCCAACTGGTTTGAGATTGAAGCATAGTTATTGTTGCTGTCCTCTTGAGAAAAACTCCCTTCCAGGAAATAAGTTAAAAAAAATATATGCTTTTTGGAGAACTATTGGTTGATTTTTTATAGCTTTCTTTGGGTATCATCTGCTGTTTTAGATTTGGGCTATTTGTGAGTTTGTTCACCGGATGTATTATCTCTTTACTCTCTAACCGTGTCATGGTGGAAGACCGTGATACTATTTTCACTTCATGTGTATGAAGTTAGTTAGTACTATATTCCCTTTATGATCTTTTAAATGTATGTTGCAGTTTGAGGTTGAGTTTAAGAAATGCTAATTTACAAGCAAAGGCAAACATGAGGAAAGCTGCTCAAGAAGAGGTAGTATGTTTATCTGTATAGAAGACAAGTACAATTTAGCATGTCAGAATTATTTTTTGAGAATGATATGAATTGTGATTTAAAAAATGTGCTTCTCCTGGCAATTCCCAGATAGTAATACTGTAATAGCAGAGATTCTGCTCGACAAGGCAATAGGATATGAGAATGCCCTTTTCGGATGCATGTCAGAATTATTAACGTGTCAACATCCTGCATTTCATCCCTTATTGTGCCTAATAGCATAATACTCACAAGAGATATCATGCTGACATATGCCTTGAAAATGATGTTGAACCATGGAAATCTTTTACCGGCAATTTCTTCTCTTTTGGACCAATATTAGGAAAATGTTTCATACTAAAAGCTGCCTTCATATGATGTCAGAGGGAGCTTCTCTTGGGAGGTGGGGAAGAATCTACAGTTCGCAGACGAAATCTACAGTATGTGGTACCCTTTTAGTCTTTACGTTACCATGGTTATCTCCACTTTTAAAGCTCATATGTCTGTGCTTTTGAGGACAGAAGTATCAGAATGTTTTTTTTCTAAATTATGAATCTATTTGCCAGGACAAAAGCTGGAATGACATCTGCAGCTGAAAGCATCACGGAGAGCCTGCGCCGCACACGCCAACTTATGGTTCAGGTTATTGCCATCTTTCTTCTATTTTCATTTGCTTGGTTTAAGATCTTCTTTTAAATTTTTTTGCCTGATGTATTTATTTATGAGCTTTTTATGTTGCATAACACTCCCTGTTCTCTTGCTGTTTGTAATATGCTTACAGGAGGTTGAAAGAAGTGCAAGCACTCTAATGACAGTTGGTAAGTACCTTTCGGTGTTTATGAATGACAGTCACTCTTGTCATGACATGTCTTTATTATCTGTTTTAGCTTATGTTGCTTTAGCCAGGTGACGTTTTTCTTGTCTTCTCTAGTTCTTTTGCTATTTTTGTGTTGTTGTTACTTCTAAAAAAAGAAAAATTGATTGCATGAAATGGATGTTTAAGGAAAAGGTCATATTGAGATGAAAGGTTCTTTTCTTTTCTTCTAAAAATTTCCCCCCTTCTCTTTAAGGGGGGTATTAGATATTACTTTAAAGAATGGTCTTATAACGAAAGACACATCAAAGAATGCATTTCTTCATACCATACAAAGAGAATGATAGGATTGCTTCTGGACATATGTTAGTAAGAACATTCTATAGAATAATTTTTTTGTAGTTACAATGAAAACAAGTCCACTATTGAAAAGTATCCTGTTTGCTTTTGAATAAATTTTTACTTTTGTTTCTGTTGATTATGCATCTGAGTATTGGAAAATAAAACATTGTAAACCTCAATTTCGGATATATGCCATTTTTGGTTGTTAATCAAAGCTCAACTTACAGATAAGCATTGTTCCTTGTATAAAAAAGATGAGTTAGGCCTTGTGTTATTAGGACTGATTACCCAGGTTATCTACTAGTAAAGTGCACTTAAATATACCTTACTGTAAAAGTAACCCTATAGATAAACACTATCTGCAGCATCAAAGCTTAATTAATGGTTGTAAGGAAAAATACGACTAGATCATGACCAGAAAATACATTGATATTATTCATTACATGACTCGATGGGTCTACGTATCCAATGTGGTACGTTGTGCATGAGTCGGTTTAGTTTCCTTGACAATGCAATGATGTGTTCAAGAGATACACCTCTCATTAGATGACAACAATGTGGGCTTTGTTATCCAATTTTTTTATGATGGTGACTGCTTCCATGACTTTTGGATGCCATTCTTCATATCCTAAATGTGAAAAGTATGTAAGTCGAGGCTAGATGACAATGTACATATTCTGTATATTACAGATGAATCAACAGGCGTTTTAACGAAAGCCGAGAGTGAATACAAGGGCCACCGCTCCTTGCTTTCGCGAACTCGAAACCTTCTGTCCACAATGCAACGGCAGGACATTCTGGACAGGTATCATGTGATAATGACTTTGTAAAATAACATTGACCTTTGCTTTGCACCTGTACTGCTGAGTTTATAATGCCATTGCAATTTAATTACGTTGTTTGGAAATGCATTTAACCTCGACTGCAACACTAACACAATGTGTGAACAGGGTGATACTGGTGGTTGGATTTATTATTTTCTCCTTGGCTGTGCTTTACGTGGTTTCAAAGCGTATGGGGCTGCTCAAGTTGCAGCGTAAGCTCATTGAAGCTGTGAAGTCCGGTACAGCTGGACAAGCGGAGATAATAGCTGAAGCTGGTAGACAAGGTGCAAATGTTGCTCAGGTTCAGATGAATCCTGAGTTAAATGTACCCTTAGAACAAGCAATGCATGATGAACTTTAAATTCTCTATAACTTTGTACATTTTCTTTGTTACATGAAATTTCATCTATGAAGCTTCATATCTTGGTTACAGCCTTACAAGAAATCGTATATTCGTTTGTCTCCTTTATTCACAGCTCGAGTTGATCCTTCACCGGTTATATGTTTTTTGATCTTGGTATTGTAGAGACAGATAAACACTGCATGTCCAGTAACTTTCAGAGAATACAGGTACAATACTGTTTGTGTTCTTGTACTTTGGCATTACATAAGCCTTCGCAATGATTATAGCAGAATGAAATGACATCTATTCCTATTTATATCCACAAAATTGACAAACAGCAACTCTTATGTAGATATAACCAAATAAAATAGAGAAGTATATAGAGTGCAAGCCATTTAGTACCAGAAAAAGGTGGATGAAGAAACTAATTTATACATATAAAAATTAGTATTATGCTAAGAGCCAGAAATTTCTATGAGTTTTGGTGTTGAGAAGATATCCTGCTGTTTGGCCCTTCTTCTGAACTGCAACACAGGTGCATTTGCTGTTGTCAATCAAATAATCTGCCATATCCAGCCCCAGCCCTCTTAGTGATACACTTCTTTTAGGCCTGCCACACACAAATGCAGGATGATTCATACTTGTTCAACCAAAAAGAGAAGAAATAAAGGAGGTTTGTCTCTGTCTGTGTGTGTGTGTTGGGGAGTGGAGTTCACACTCAAAAATATGTATTTACTAGCTTTCTTCTCCTAAAATACCAATATGACTGAATTAAAACTCGTGATCGTGCTCAATTTTGAAATTAGATGATATGAAAAGAATGTAAACTCACCTTAGTATTACATTAGAAAGACTCCTTCTCTGACCTATAACAAGAATATCAATACCAAAAGATGCAGATTTAGCAAGAATGACAGTAGCTTTTTCCTTTGCATTACCATCCATATCTACTGTTTCTGTACAAACTTTTATCTTAGGTTGTGCAACTTCACATGCATGTTTCATTGTACCAAGAAAATCCATGTATCCCTTTCCTGTGCACCCTTTGACATCATCACCACCGTCTTCCGCGGCACCATGAGAGGCCGCAGATGTTGGCGGCGGTGATGTTATGTTTGTCAATGACTTTCTAAAGAAAGTACTGAACGGACTACCATCCGATGGGGACGTGGACGTGGATGTGGACGTCGACGTGGACGAGTTTGGCAATGGCTTCTTGATCAAGGCACCAAGGAGATTCCTCCATGCATTAGGATTACCAACATGCAGAAGAATCAACGTGTCATTTTCCGCGACTGCATGGGAAAGCGCGTATTGAAGGGCAGAGGCTGATTCACGAGTTGGATCAGCCACCACCATTATTTTCTTAGTTGATTTCTTCCCATTTGCCATAATATGGTCTCTGGTCATTATAATACGCGAACCGGGCCCCACCACCACCACTAACCGTCCACCGCCGCCCGTAAAACGTTGGTTTTTCTACCTAATGATAAAACCAGCGTTTGTGGGTATGGTAGTGGAACGGTAAACAAAGAAGAAAACAAGAATATGAGGCTGCCATAGGGTAGTTTTTTTTTTTTGTCTATAATAAATTGTGATTCCTAAAGTTAATGCCCTTTTTGTTGTTTGCAAAAGCCATTAGAAAAACCAAATGAATGTCAACCTCTCAAGGTTGAAAGGATAATAAATTTTTGCTATTTAACTTGTTACTGATAGAATATTTTTCCTATTTTTAAACCCTAATTCTTTAGGAAAATCAGGATAGAACCATTACATACAAATCCTCAGGAAAAAATTGCAATAGTAAAGTGTGATCTTGAATATTAGTCTCAACTTCTCCAATTTATTGAAATATCTCAAACTCTGGGCTCATAAGCAAGCTAAGCTAATTTATGCTCACACTTATGTCAAATAGGCAACAAAAGTCATTAACAAAAAGGACAATCCATAGTAAAGTGTATGCTATATTACACTTGAAGGAAGAAAGTATCAGTTGCAATTGCATTAACAATAAGCTTATTCTCCCCTGATGCTTAGTACATAAATCAGAGTTTTGGTAGTTCGAAATATACCATCATTGTACTTATTAAGAACTAGTCCAAAAAAATGTCGAAAATAATGACCTATCCTACCTCTGCTACATGTGTCTTCCTCAGTTCTGATGATTTGCAAATGATCTGAAAAGCTCTAATCAGGTGCTTGCACTTGCTGGTGATATGAAGATTATCACCGGTTAATATCGACTCTTCATCAGTAGCCAATCGCTGAAATCACGTTGCAAAGATGGTAATAGTCATCATGCCATCCAAACGGAACATAAGCAATATGATAAGAGAGGAAAGCAAATGACTAATGGTGCATATATGGACCAGGAAAAGAAAGAGCTAGACGGAGCTCGTACATGATCAGCTTTTGGCATTTAATTTCTCTAAAAGGATTTTGTTCAAAAGTTTTGGATTTGCTTTGCCTTTTGATTCCTTCATCACCTAGCAATCAGCACAACAATGTGAAAAGTAATGGTCAATAGCCAGCATGATATGAAAACAACAAACTCCAAGGACTGAATGAAAACATACCTGGCCAGCAAAATAACCTTGCAATTTAGTTTTACCACCGCGGTATTGTTCCAGCTGCTTTGGACTATCTGCAATCACCTTATCTACCATTTTCTCAATCTCCGCAGTGTCAACAATCTGTTTATTCAAAAATGAGAAAGTAGATTAGATTCCTTTAATAACAAATATGCTTCAGTTACTTACTTGGTTGTAAAATGCCAGTCGTGTAAATCGACAACACCACTTTATACAAATTGTTAACATCAATAAACACAACCACAAGGGCAGTCAGTCTGAATGACACATGGTCACTTAGGTCAAGATGTTTCTAGACAAGATAGCTCATGGTAGAATTCTGAGGCAGTGTAATCGAGAACAAATACACACAGTTTGACACACTTCAGAAGATAATTTTGGGAACTTTTAACCATGAACATTTATAGATAAGTAATGGAAACTTTAACAGTGATGTGTATGATATCCGCAATAGATTATCCACGCAGTTCATAGAATCAGGTTAACGGAACTGTGCTGAGGCTTTTATCAAACTGAGACAATAACGGTTTAGCATTCATTTGACTTTGATATCACAACAATACCAAAACTTACATCTACAACTTGTTATAAAAAGGTTCTACTAGGTAAATCCTGAAACCTTGGAAGTAAGATTAAGTATCAATACATCAGATAATTTACAGTCATCAAGCAATCTAAAGTTGATTGGCTCAGTGTCTTCGTGGGGTCAATATTCATCTTCAAGTATCTTTATTTGTAGTTGTTTCATGATCAGTTTCCTTATCCAATCAAAGGGTCTCCAAATAACTACGATTCAGGTAACACGGGCTACAATTTTAACTCTAATCCATCAGAATGAGAGAACAGCGTCATTGGTAACAGGTGATAAGTTAGTGGTCTTGAAAGTTTATTCAAGAAATTTTTTTTTTGAGATTTAAAAGAATCCAGTTCAACAGATGATTATAAAGCTCATCAACAGAACAGTAAAATCATTTTATTATATAATTATTTATAACAAGAGAAAAATACTAGAGCTCTTGCAATATTGCAAGCCAACTTGCCTGAACCAGATCCTTTTCTTTTATCAGCCCCTTGACTGTTCCACCCTTGGCGATTAGCTCAAATAAAATCTGTAAAGTTCAACAACAATTATCGGTCAGAAACATAGTAATTGAACAGAGTGGATCAAAGTAAAGCCAATGAAGAGAGTGACCCGTTACCATATATTTATGCATTTCTAAAGAATACTACTGATTATGCACAAGTGATACTCTTTCCCTCTCTTATATGCACACATCCATGCAGATATTAAGATGTATCATCAAAAATGATTCATGCCAAACTAGTCATGCCGGAAAGACTCTTGATCAGTACGGATTTCTCACACTCAAACAACAGCTTATGATAGTCACAAAGTACGGTACAACAATAAACTGAAGTTACAGAGAGACTACATTGCTGCTAACATAGGGACTTCTTAATTGGCCTCTATAGCAGATCTCATCAGTCATGACTGTCTGAAGAAGGTATATGTTAAATTCCTGATATATGTTCCATCTTCAGTTATAATGTTTCTAAAACATTGTAAACCAAAGCATCAACACCAATAAGAAACATCGGACAAGATGAGGGAAGTGGACTGAGATGGTTCGTACATGTGAAGAGGAGGTGCGAGGATGTGCCAGTAAGGAGGTGTGAGAGGTTGGCTGTAGCAGGAGTTAGGAGAGGTAGAGGTAGGCTGAAGAAGAACTGGGGGTGGAGGTGATTAGACAGGACAAAGCACAACTTCAGCTGACTCAGGACATGACCTCAGATATGAAGGTCGAGGATGAGGATTGAAGGTTAGTAGGTAGATGAGTGTTGTCGCATTCTGAATGGGGAAGGGACTGGGCTAGTTTTCTCCTCTCCTTTTAGTATTATTATCAACTATCACATAGTTTCTTATTCTTCAATGTGTATTACTATCTTTTGTTGCATCTTTTTTGTATCTTGCTACTTTGTTGTCTCTTTTCTCACTATCCTGCGTCAGGTACCTCACTCACAAAGGTAGGGCCGTAGGGGTGAGGTCTGCATACATTCTAGCTCCCCAGACCCACTTGTGGGATTACATTAGGTATGTTGTTGTTGTTATACCAATTCCTGGCTTCTCAAATACAACATGGACTGCAACCAAATGAAGGTCAGTGATTTGCAGAAGAATTAAGAAGCCTAACAGATAGTTACTTGTGACTGGACAAATCCCCAACCTCAACGCACCCAAAAATATTCTAAATGGTGAAGAAAATCAGCAAAACAAAAATTCTATTAGTAATGTATAGGAAAACCATAAGATGTGATTTTCAACCATACAAATTTAGTTATATCAGCGCCCAAAGTGCATTTACCTCCTTCCCAATCTTTCCGCTGATAGTCTCATCTTTAATGGAAGCTATGAGCTCCCCCAGTTCTTGAGGGGTAAGTTTAATCTCATTGATAGTCACTTTTTCATTTTTCATGTACGCAGCAATATCTCCCATAATCCAATTGGCAGCAAGCTTTATATCAGCACCTCCTGCAGTTGTTGCATCAAAAAAATCTGCAATCTGTAACATGCAATTATCAGTGGAACTGGATATTTCTACAAAGAAATAATGGGAAAAGCTGGAAAAGGCCTGATTATGCAGGCTAATAGTCCAGAATTTTAATAACAGGATGACGATGTCATACTTTCGGGCTCCTTTGAAGACAAACTTGATAGGGGAATCCATCCATGTTAAACCATAAGTCAATGAAAGGATGATAGTGTTCTTGAACAACATCATCCTTCACTTCTATTCCTTTACTTACTCAAGTCCGCACCCTCTTCTCCACCCACCACCAACCCACCCAACTTTGGTCTCATTGGGCCATTGGAACTCATGGAAGAGAAGGAGAAGGGAGAAGGGAGAAGGGAGAAGGGAGGGTAAATACTTCCAAGAGGCATATAGCTAAATGGACTTATGTGTATCTAAAAGTCAAATAATGCTTGTCCTTTTAGATGCTTAAGGATTTAAAGCATCATATTAAATTTCTGGCGAGAAGCACTTCACTCACAGGTTAAACCCTTACGAAATAACATCAGCTTGATAGATTTCAGTACTGGAGTGTCTACATGCCAATAAGGCAGTATAAGCAGAACCTGACAATGAGAAGCACTTACATTGATGTCATTGGCAAGAAATAGGACATCTTGCATGCTTAGGCCCAGTTTCTCGTACCTCCGACGCTTATCTTCTGGAAGTTCAGGCAATGACTCACGGATACTGTTCACATACTCCTCGGTGAGAGAAACACCAGGGAGATCAGGTTCAGGGAAATAACGATAGTCAGCAAGTCCTTCCTTTTTTCGCATGGTTACTGTTTTCTAGATGTATGAGAAGGTTAAGCATATAAGTTTTCCACGGAAAGACTTGAGTAAACTAGTCTGACATACATACTGCAGTAGTATCAAAAAGTACAGTTGCATACCTGAGCACCTTCCTCCCATAGACGAGTTTCCTGTACAATTTGATCAATCTGGCCTTGGTTATGTAGTTCCACCTGTCTTGAAATTTCATAATCAATGGCCCTACTCATCGATGAGAAGGAGTTCAAGTTTTTAATTTCAACCTGACACAAAAAAAAAAGATATATCAGTTCATTATATAGAGTGCTGACTTAACATATGCAACTTAAACTAAACACTCACTGCTGAGAATTTCCAGATCATAGAAAGGCAACAATAAAGAATTAACACCAGATGAAGTAAAAACTTGATCCATTATAGAGAAGAAACAATGTAATTGACATGAAAGTTGCAGAAATGGGGAAATCATGGTCACTCACTCACTCTAGCGACAAATACAAGGACAGCTAACTTAAAGTCTTGAATGGTATTTAATATGTAGTTTGACGAATTAAGACAAAAAATTTGCATGCTAAACATGTCTCCAGTTTCAAGTTTTATCAAACAAAGGCAGTCCCACCAAATGAAGCTGAGA